GGATCATACAATCATAGACATTCCATTCATGCCAAATATCATTTATTGTTTTCATTAAGACTTTCATTTGAATGTTTGATTTGTTTTTGTGACCGTTTAACCTTCGTCTGACTTCATCATAACTGATGTATCTATTCAGAGCATGCGATTTTTTGTTGGTGCGAAAAATTTCGGCTTAAATTTAATAGCAGGCAATGAAATTTGTATATGAAATTTCTCGCAGTCAAATTTAATATTTATTGTGGAGTTTTGATGAAATGGTTTCGTCTTCAAAAATCATATATTATGCATTTGCATCAGCTTTATGATTCATGCAATCAACAGCAACGTCATTGAATTTTTAGATTGGTGTAATTTTTGCAATTCTAATCGCCGGTCTCTTATTGTTGGCAATATGCATTGCGGGCATTTATTTTGGATGTGTTGTCAACGTGAGTTTTCATTGCTAAATCATTTTACAGCACTTTGCCAGACTCTCATAAACCTTTATGAGTATTTTCTCAGCAGTTTTCCACAATCCTGCTTCTGTTGACTCGAGGATATCGATCACTGAAGTTCAATGCAATTTTGTGTTCTTGAAATAAACGCAGCTCCAATACGAGAGAGAATATATCGCAATCAATTGCTAAACATAGATAAAAATACCGAAATCCGTTTAAAATTGCTCAAGAACCTTAAGCCATATAGTTTTCATGAGTACTCATGTTGATCGATCAGATTTCACAGTTGAAGTGGATCACATTCAAATTGAAAAAAATATGTGTGTACAATGATATGTGTGCCCTTGAAGGGACAAGAACACCGAACAAACATGCAGTATTTTTCAATCAAAAACATCAACAAGATGTTGGAATAGGTGTTAATGTATGCTGGTTTCTAAGAGAAAAACAAAGCATTCATTAAGTTAGCTATCCATGCAGTCCATACTCCACTTCTCCTATTGTACTGGTCAGCAATCCAGTAATGACAACTATTATCATTAATATCAGCACTGATGTAGTTCCCCTATTATTGCTGTTCCTATCACCATTGGTATCAGTACTTCTACTAGCGTAACTGCTCAATGACCACTAACCAAAATATTTCATCAGTGTAGCTGTTTGTTTGTTTCGGAGCAGAGCTTGTTTGCATATATCGTTCGTACATTCCACATTTATGACTAATCGAATTTCATGATTGATCTTAGATCAAAGAGAAACATCCTAAATGCTTGAACTTCAGAGCAACTGTCAAGATACTTCTTCTTATCATATTTCCGGCAAAATTCACGACATAAATTCAGACATTGCGAAAGATTTATGAATGATAAAACATTTGCTTCCTGCTCACAAAGTTCACCTACTGTTACCTAAGCCAATCGCTAGTTCATACAGATTGAATTCGAACATATCAATGCGATATTCATTTAGAGATTATGTCCAGCAAAAATTTGTTCCTGTGTTCCATTTTCAGTTGAAATTTTCGAAAAACTGATGCAAAGGAATAACGAGAAATTCGAGTAAATGACTCAACATGACCATTTGCACCATTCGAGGGGCACAAAAAAATTTTGTATAAAAAAAGACATCAGATTCTCTTTAAATGATGATAGCAATTAAACGATGAATCAAACTCTCAAACTTCTAAACTCTCAGAGAGATGATAATCCACGAAGCACTTTATGAGATCCTCTTAACAATCAGTTCGATGGATAAAGACTCGTTTGTTCGTCCATTTGTGACATTTATGACAATCAATTCAATGTTTTTTTTTTCGAACTGAACAAATCTATACGGCAATATGATCCAGATAATAGTTTCGTTCTACGATGAGCAATAGTACACGATGAAAAGCATTCATTCATTTATTTGGTTGTTCAATCTAAGAATGTAAATTATGAGTGTGCTCTTATAATGTCAAAAAAATGCGACATTTAAGTAAGAGTAACATTTAAATTGAAAATGCGAAAAAACCACTGTATCCCATTCAAACATTTCATTTTGAATGAATTCTTTCGAACATTTTTAGCGACATATGATTTTAGTAGAATTCTGAGTGTCTGTTGTATTCAGTCAGCAAAATTTTTTCACATTCGACGACATTTCACACCGTTTCTGAAGGCAACATCGCTTTTTGAAGGCAGTGCCTGGAAAGAGAAGTTTTCAAAGTTCTTTCTATGAGAAACAAGAAATGCATTTTGTGAATACAACTCGCAATTCGTTATTATCGAAGGAGAGTTCGCAAGTTCACTTTCAAGATGTGACAAAATGAGTGAATGTACGGGTAGATTATATGCGATAACTGAAGATTCACTAAAGTTAGCTTGTTCCAACATGGCCTTCAAAGAATGTGTTGAAAGAGTTTGCAGAAAACTGCTGAGGTTGTTTCGAACGGACTCAGGTAAACCTCAGGTTCAGTCTCGGGCTAACACAAATACGCACACGCTCACACTCAACCTTTGCAGAATTTTTCATTCAAAAATATTCGATACTATCCCAACCCCATTTTCCTGATCTCTCAGGGAGTTCTTTTCAAGAACATAAATAATAATTGCATTAAAAACTTTCCAATAGAGTGACCCCAAGAGTCGATTTTGTTTTGAAATATCCTCAAAATAAATCGGTTATTCCTGAGGAAGAAATGATTATGACTTTGATGCTGTCTGATTTTAACGTTCTTAAGATGAGAGGTGACAAGAAGCGCCATTACACGGCTCCAACTATCGCCCGTGCAAATGCACCGCAGAGGCAGTGGCAACCGAATGAACAACCCGGTATTCTATATAACAATTTTAGCGCTCCAAGAGCTAATTTAAGCGAGTGAGTCGATGCTTCTTCACTAATTCACTTGGTTTCGATAAAAAAATGATCATTTACTCTGATCATTGATCCGAACTTGTCCACTTCGTTTTCGCTACCGTATAGCCCATTTTATTCATATCTCTTGAACGAATTCCAGTGTTAATCAAAATGATCCTTTCGACGATAACCCATCAGATGATCATAATCAAATCAATCATTCTGATCATTTCATAGGTATGATCATCTTCAACCTATTGAGTTGTTTAGCGAGTTCTTTAGCTTCATGAGTTAACAATGAATTTGAAGAATTTCAATTCAAAGAAATCAAAACTGAGCTTCAACACAACTTGAATGTTGCATGCATGGACTAAAATAACTTCATACTTCGAAACAAACAACCAAAAATAACGAGTTCTTTAAGATATGCGACGTCACCTCGCACCCAAGCGATGGCGCCTGCTCCAGTGCCCATCTCTGCGCCAGCAGGAGCACCGACACCACTCTATCAGACGCACTCCTTCGGGACACCATCATATCAACAAACGCCACCACCTCGGCCCCAATCCCAACCTCATTCTCAGCTATACACAAATCGAACAAATACACCTCAACAACCGTCACCATATGCTGTACAGTCTTCCTATAGACCACCTCAACCGGATACTATTATCTATCAACAGGTTAACATTTG